GACCGGGCCCCGGGGCCGCTGCCCCTGCAGGGACCGCGGCGTGCGGACACTGGGGCCGGCGACACTGGGACGTTCTGGGAGCAAATCATGAACGGGGTGGCAGCATCTGTTGTTCACTCTCTGGAGAAAAACCTCCTTTTCCCGAACTGCTGCACCTGCTGTATTTAATTTTTTGTTATCTTGGTTTTTGAAGGCTTGTATTGTCTTTTTAGTTTAGCCTAGACAGAACCTTAATGTTTCAGAATGCTAAGACACCCTGTTCGTCGTAAGGACTGTGCTTATGGTGTTCCCAGGATGCACACAGCATTTGTTCTTGCTGATCCTTGGAGGACTTGTGTGCCTAAGTGCAGACCCTTAGGTGCAGGCATGTGCGTTCACCGGGCTGCCCAGGCTGATGCCCTCTCAGCTGCTGACCCTGTAGTGAGGGTCTGTAATCATGACTGCAGGCGCAGGTAAATTGCAGAGAGGGGCAACAGCTGCTGCTCTGTCTTGGTAATTAACTGTTGGAGAAATCTAAGTAATTATGTTTCTTGAGTAATGTAAGTTTGGCACCAAGCCACTGTAAAATGTTGTTTTGTAATAGCTTTACAGACATGTCTACTTTTGGAATGAACTTAGTAACACAACTTAACTTAGAATGTCTTGAAGCTGCCAGAATGTCAAGTAGCTGCCGTGTTATTTCAGAAATCTTCTGGAGACTGGTGATGTTAAATAAATAAATGCTGTCTCAAACACAAACAATACAACATTGTCAAGGATCTGGTGTTAAAGAAAAATTAAAATCACTTTGCTGATTTTTCTTTTTTTAATGGTTACTAATGCAGTTGAGAGAAACACAGGAAGTGCATATGCCACATTCTGCAAAATTCTTTGGGATGCCTTTTACATGTTAGCATATAAGGACTAGCCATTTGGATTGTTAACAGTTATTATCTCATGAGAAATACCTGCCTGAAATGATTAAATACAAATCCTATTTTGTTTATACTTTTGTTGCTTAGCAATATTGAGATATTGAAATTAATTTCAGAAATATACTTATTGTAATTTCTATCTACAACATACTTACTGTATTTTCTAATATGTTTGCAGGAAATTTCTTGCATGTATATACCATAAAAGAATCCAGTCCACTAACAGAAACTGTGAAATTACTGCTGATGTGAGACATGATGGGTCTGAACCACTTGTAGATGTTATGTTTGGTAAGAAGCTCATTTTTAATCTTGACCAAAAGAAAAAAAGACCTTTTGGGTTTGTGCAGTTAAGATGTTATTGTCTTGTCTATGATTTTTTTTACTGTGGTTTCTTTTTTTTTGTTCTTGCCCGTAGCTAGCTGTTGTACAGCTGGGAGGAAAAAAGGAAGAGGGAGTCACTAACAGCCTGATATTTAGATAAATGTGTATATATGTCTTTGTACTACAGTCAGATCTGGCAGATCTTAGATCAAAGAAGTGACTTTACAGTTGGGTCTACTTTTGTAGTGACATACTTGTGTGGTGTCGTAGTCAGGTATAATTCCAGGAAGTAAGTGTAGCTCTGTCTTGATGTAAGAATCTGTTCCCTTTCTGTAAGTGTTATTTTTACGTTCTCTGTGGTGGAGGCAGCTCAGTCTTGGGAACACTAAAGTTGAATCCCTTTAGTTGCTTATGCAACCAAGTAACTTACTATGCAGTTTGAAGGAGCTGCTCATATGGGTAAGACCATACGTGTGCAGATGGACTTGAAGAATGAGGTCAACTGATGTACAACAAATTTCTTGGTTTCCTCTGAGGATGTAGTAAGCAGGCAGGGGATTGATGGTGGAAATTTCATCAGTTCTGGAAGCAGCCCAGATTCTAGGCTGTGAGCAGATGGCTCTAATCTGCTTTTGTCCTTTTCTCTGGCTGTATCTTCTTTCCTGCTGTGCTATAATGGACCAATATCTCGTGTAGCCCATTAAAGTTTTAATTACTATTGATTCTTGCTACCCCCTTTTCTTCCATATATTTAATGAATCAGTAGGAATGTTAAGAGTGTTGAATGTACATAATTTTGCCTAGGAAAGTAGTTATTTCAGTGTTGACAGTGCATGTTTCTTCCTCCCCCTCGTTTCTGTCTTCCCATCCTTGTCTGTAACTCTGATGTGTTAAGACTTAAGCAGTAAAGCTGAATGTTTTTCACAGTGTAAAACCAAAACAAGTTATTTCACTAATGCTAAGAGGTAGGAGCTTCTTCCAAGTGAAAAATGTGGAGCCCTTGTAGTTGGCCAACATGGGTCTGGAGCTGGGATGCCATGCATGGTGTTGCGTTATGTGGGTTTGAGTATGGCTTTTGTATTTGCAAATCTTGCAAAAATAAGTAATTAACTCAAGTACAATACTTCTGCCTCTTCCTCCCTGTTTTGAAATAATTTCTTTCAGAATTTTAGGAATCCCAGTACTATATATATATTTTTTTAATATTATAGCCACCAGATTGTGCAAACCAATTGGTTTCTTTGGCTAAGAAGTTAAATGCACCACAGACCACATGCTGCTAAAGTGCTGAGCCATGTGTGAAAATTATGCTTTCCAGTGCCTTCTGTTAGATGACTTTGAGGACACATTATGAGCCATGCTTATCAAATATGTGTTCTTACTATAGGTGTGTCTAGACAAACGTTTCAGGTTTTTCAAGAATGCTATACAGAAAATAAATTTATGTACACATTGTGTGCAGTTTAATGTATGTGTTTGGTGGTGGTGCATAGTCAGATTCCTTGGTAAGTGGAGTACTTTCTAAGATGAAGATGATTTGGATTTATACATACAAATCAGAACTGCACACTAAAGTAATTTGACATAGACATTGTGACTTACATTTTTTTCCCTTTATAGCTGATGGAGAGCGACTGTTAATGAAGGGAGCCAACCTGACGACAATAGAAATGTTAACAGCGTTGGGGTCTAGATGTAATGCCAAAGAGCTTAAGGAAGAACAGAAAAGCAAGAAGAAGAGTCCCTGAAGAACAGAAAAACAACTGTGTTTGCATCTACATGTGTTAAAAACAGTAGGCTGCACAGAGGCTTTTCTCCTACACTACAAAATCTAAAAGGGAGAGGTGGCCAAAACACTGACCGGTCTGACATGCAGCAAAATGAACCATGTAAACGTTCCCCATTTTCACCTGAAGAAAAGCACAGTGGATTAACAAGTCTTCTAACACTAGTGGGTCAGAGTGGCTTAAGATGCATTAATCCATCTTGCTAAGCAGATGCCTCTCAGCCTGCATGTTGGACTAGTATCACATGTATTTGCATATAAATGTGAATAATGCACATTAACTATTAAATTAGTAATACAATAAAGACAGATCTCTTGGGCATTATTTCCTACAAAACTTCTATTGAGGGGAATGCAAAATATTGTTAGAGTGGTCACTTTTTGAAAACAAATACAAACATTTGAAGAAAACTTTGAAAATATTCAACATTGACTTAGCTGGGGGACCGCAAGCTGCAAATCCAGAGTGGATTTTGTAATACTGTGTTTCTAATACATCTGTTGCTATGTCCCTGCTGTTTTCTTCCTCTCTTCTTAACAAAGTGTGAAATTTGTTAAATATAAATTTAGCTCAGCAATTAAAGTAACAAGGTAATGGGTCTGTGAACACACTGTACTCATCCTGCATAATAGTGGCTAAATTTAGCTCAAAGGGAAAGGTAAGGTAGTTTTTTTTTTTATATATTTGGAGAAAAGGGCTGTCTTTGAAGTTCAGTTTTGTAATGTTTTTGTTACTAATTTTTGGGTGTTTTCATTAAATATTTTGTAAATATCAAAGGGAGAGCTTTATTTGGTGTTCACAGCCCTATGTCCAACCCTGTTATTTATTAAAGTACGTGCTTTGGTGTCTCATCTGTATTGCAAAGCTCTGTGGATGAGAGAGGGTTGATCTCTCCTCAGGCTGTGCAGGTGAAGGTGTCAACTGCACATGTATTTCGTGTGCATTAGTTTTGTTCTAATTAAATTCATAATGAAAATGTAAATAAGGTTTCAGCTTTGAGCATTGCAGGTGCAGTACTATTGAGAGGCATTAGCTGTACATGTTGTTAATCAGATGTCTGACTGACATATATACTTGTAGTACATATCTTTTCAAAGTGAATCTGGCAACAGATTCAGGACACAAATCTGAAACTAGTTTTACCTGACCTCTGTTAGGGGAGAAGCTGCTGTCCCATCATACCCTTGAGCTGCCAGGAACCAAGTCCCATCACAGCGGGCAGCTCCAGTGAGCCAACGGGTGCCCCTTTTGACTTCTCGCTCACATGCATGCTCAGTCTTGGGCACTTTCTTCAGGCTTGGCCTTGGGTTTCCTGTAGCAGAGTCTCAGGTATTGATTCTTATATACAAAAAAGGAGTTTGTTTAGATGGTGCAGTGGAAAAACACCTTGAGCTGGGTGCCTCCAGAGAGGGACCCTGGACAAATCTCTGGGCAATTACACCCTTACAATCTATGCACCTGCCTGTCACATGTTCTTCAAATACCTTTTGGTCCAGTGCTGGTTTCTGATCTAGGGTCTTCTAACACATTTTTTTATTCCTTCTCTGTCTCCAGGCAGACCATTAACTGTTCTTACCCTGTCAAGTTGCATTTCTCCTGATGTTTGCAGGCTCCGTATCTTCTGGTTGCACTTCTTGTGCACCTGCTCGCTGGCAAAGCATGGGAAACAGAAGTCCTAGACCCAGGATAAGCACTGCTTAACAACAACTGAAACATCAGTGTGTTACCAACATTATTCTCAGGCTAAATTCAAAACACAGCACTACCAGCTACTAGGAAGCACTAGGTGCTTTCATTTTAACCCAGAGATACCCAACCTTTTTGCTTAGGTGAGGCCAAAGGCCTATAACGTAGCCATTCAGAGATACTGACAGTTCAGTTGATAAGGTATTAGCTGCTTTTGCTGTGAGTGCCAGTAGCTGCAATTTGCAGTGGTAAAATATATATGTTTTGTGCACGAAAAAGAAGTAACATCGAAGATTTGAGTATGTGAGGTACAAAGGAAAACATACAGGACAAAAAAATAAAGCTAAAAACATACATTCTCAGGACTGCGAGGCATTGAAGTGATATAAACAGGCAATATGGACAAGAAGGTAATCCTCTGGTGATTTTTATGCTAATATGTAGAAAATTGCTCTCCCTGTACTATGTAGATAAAGGTATGAATTTATTATTCAAGTATGTTGAAGGTAATCTTTAATGAATTTCTTCTCTAAGCATTTAGATAACCATTCTGCAATCTCTTCATACAGTATCAGTTCTGGTGCTGTCTGACTGAAACAAAGCCAAGTGACCTGCTGCTCTGACATCTTCCTGATACACACAGTCTAGGGCTGTGGATGTTGAGGACTTTAAGGTCATTCATGCAGAACAAAGCAGAGCTTGATGAGCATTGACTTGCATGTTACTATTTGTTAGCCTATTAATCTTGATTATTATACCCCACCAAAAATGTGTGCGCTTGCCTAAGTATAAAAGGAACTGGAACAGGCCCTAAAACCACTAGGATTAACAAAATATAAACATCATATTCATGGAGGGTGTCTCATAGCAGGTGATGACATTAAAATGTCTTTATGTCTAATAGCTGGAGTTTTAAAGCAATAATTAGAATCATCTTAGGCCCATTTATCTTAAAAATACCTATTTATTTACAAGTTCCTGACAACGTGTAG